ATGCGATCTGTGTCGTGCTCCTCAGAAGCATTTCGTTCCTGCATCCGATGTCTCAAGCCTCTGCCTTCACCATGTGCAGCCGATATCTTTACCCCATCGTGTCGCTTTTTTTTGCCATTTCGATCAGAACACGACGTCCTGTCTAAGCAATACTCTGGACCCACTTCCTGAACCACATACAAGCCCAATATTTCTTGCCGTGACCCCCCTGTATTTTTCCTCCGTCTCTCACAGCCACCGCATCAAAGATCTAAAGCGTGTCATTTGGTATTGTTCTGGCGTGAAGGCGCGGCGGGTGACTGTAGGACCTCTGTATAGCCGGCCGATCGGGACAAAAAGATATCACGCGTGATACCAGGCTTCGTCCCGTATGAAGGCCGGCATGATCATGCGTGATCAGCCATTATCACACATGATCATGCGTTATCACGCATTATCATGCGTTATCATATGTGTGATCATGCGTGATAGCTTGAGATGATCAGACGTGATCAGACGTGATAAAGCGTGGTGCCCTCGCACCGCCTCCCAGGGCGATCAGTGTATAATTAGGACTCATCAAATCGTGATCGGTGTCTCCCACTTTTGGTCCAATTCCCAAACAGCAACAAATCAACGCCAATCGCCTTATTTGGCAAATTTCAAACTGGTCATCGGCACGGCCGTCGGCATAAGATTCTAACAAACCAACTGTACAGTCGATGACTGAGCATCCACCTCTCTCACCTCAACCACCACCTTCTTTTTTTGCTTCCCACATTCTTTCCCCCAGCCAGCCGCCCTCCCCTCCCCTCCCGCGCCATGCCCATCACCCACCTCCTACATCCCCGTGGGCTCTGCATTGTCGACGGCTGCGATTGTGTCGCGACGTATTTCGACGATAACAGAGCAGTACGTACCCCTTCTGCCGACGAATGACGGCCCCTCCCTGAACTTTTTTTCTTTTCATTTCAGGCCCCACAGTACCCAGATAAGGATTGTGTGTGCGGCCACCCCTTCTATTCCCATACCACCTCGCAGGACGAGCTCGACGCCGTCGCCGCCCTTAATAACACGCTGACCGCGGCCGGCGCCTGCCCGGCCAGAGGCTGCGCCTGGTTTTACAGCGTGCGTCTCTCCCTCATCGCTCTGTCCGTCTCACCCCCTGATTTCCAACGCGTGTTCAGCTGGATTACCGCTGGGAACCCGCGAGCAGCACTTGCATCTGCGGCGGGCGATGGGTCGCTCACCAGCGTCTTGCTCCCATGGCGCAGTGCGTAGCCTCTTCCCTCAACTTCTTTCGTAGCTGATGCTCCCTTTGCCAGGCGTCAGCCGGTAGACAGCGCTGCGCGCGCCCCTCCCCTGGGCGCGCACCATTCGTTTGGCCCTGCCCCCCCCCCCTGGCCACCCAGAGGTATATAACGCCCACCGAGGTCCAAGTCAAGTGTCGTCAAGACCACACGGCCGAGACTCACCGAGACCCCCTCCGCCTTTTCTCACGCTCCGCCCCCGACGATGGTGCACCCAACGAACGGCGCAACACCAGCATTGGCGTCAAGTTCAGTCCCGAGGCCCCCCGCTCTGTCGTGCCGCGCGGCAGAAAGAACAAGAGCCCCGCCACGCAGGCAGGGTCCTCCCGCACGGTCGCCACGTGGGCAGGCTTTCTCCCGGCGGCGCCCGACACCCCTCTTAGTCATCCACAGACTGAGGACTGGCTCATTTGTGTCCGCGCCTGCGAGCGGGCAGGTCTCGTTTATGAAATAGCACTCTCCAATGACGGCCCCATCTGGCGTTACCTGCAGGAGCAGGTCTTGCTGAAATCCGGTCTTCGCCGCATCATCATCCCGCGCACTCGCCACAGCTCTCAGCACGCATTCGACTCCCTTGTATATGGCGTCGTTGCCCCCGCCCCGGTTTCCAAGGCCAAGATGGAGAACACTGCTATGGTCCGCCCGTGGACTCTTATTGCACTTACATCCAATCAGTACACCACGGCCAATTTGAGGCAGTACGCGGATCGCGTCCCCAACCTTATCGACGAGTATTCGGGCATGCCGATGCTCCTCCTCGGTTCGTGCCCCGCCCCCTTTCCCGCACTGTACTTGCTTCTTCTCACTGTCTCGCAATCTTTTTAGTCCCGATGCACGGCAATCTCGAGGGCCCAGGGCCGGACGATCAGCGGGCTCACCGTTGTTTCCCGTTCAGGACCCTTGCGGGCACCGTCGTCCTTCCCAACGCCGAGGAGATACCCAGCTGCTGCGATCTCACCTGCATCAGCACCCAACTCCCAGAAGCACCGACTCGCGCAGTGCGCCAGCGGCCACCGTCTGCCGAGGTGCGCAACCCATCCTCGCCTCCAGCGCCCGTAGCTTATGCTCCCTTTAGCCCGCCGACCTGCGCCCTGCGACGCGTTGCCTAAGATCCCCCGCTCCCAACGACGACGAGTATCTGCCCAGCGTTGGTGATCTCCTGGCGGTATGTCCCTTCTCTCCACCCCTCGCCGAACTTCTCCTCAGCGCTCCACTCTCCAGAGGGCGGCCGCGCGACGTCATGATCCCCTGTCGCCTCTGCCCGAGTCCTCTCCGCCTCCGCCCGACTCCTCCCCGTACCACTTCTCTCCGCACATGGACCCTGCTCCCCGCCGCTCTCCACGCACCGCCGCGCCCGCTCGTTATGCCCTCCCCCCCCCTCCTCCCCCCCGCACCTCCCAAAGACGGCAACCCGCCTCTCCCATTTGCGTGTCCTTGGGTGAATCGGGTGATTCGGATGACGGCGACTCGGACTTCGAGTTCCTGGACCCCATTCGCGCCTCTGCTGCCGTTCGCCCCCGCGCCGCCGCCGTCGTTCCTCCTCGTGCCGCCGCCGTTCCCCCTCGCACCGCCGCTGCCGCCGTCCCCTCCCGCGCCCCCGCCATCAAGGTCGAGGCCAACGACAACACCAACCCTTCTGTCCCAGCGCCCGTCACGGACCCCCGCATGATACCCCACTTCGTCATCGAGGACTATGTCATCGATCAGCCGCCTCCTCAAGAGGTCCCCCAGGCGCGGCGGGAGGAGGTGGAGCAGTGGATCCAGTCACAGGGCCACCTCTTCGTCCCCCAGGCCTCTACCCATTGGCCCACAGCCGCTAGCGCTGAGCTCTTAGCGCAAAGCCTCCTGGACCTTGCTGCCTACGATGCCCCCTACACATCCAGTCAGACACTGCTCGAAAGTTCTCCAGGCGTCGCCCGCCCTACCGTGTTGCCGTGGCGCCTCCAGAAATATCCACTACAGGTCAAGGTGTAAGTTCATCCACCCCGTGTCCTCCCCCTCCGTCCACTGAAGGTGTTTGTAGCGGGAACGCTCCAGGCGCTGGTCCCCTCCGAGCAACCTTCACTGCCGGCCTCAAGATCCTCCTCAGCGATGAGGCGCTGTGGGGCCGCCGCGGTCCCTACTTCATCCCCCGGTTCTTTCGCGCAAATTCCATCATGCCCGAACATCTCAACGCCTACTTCCTGGCTGGTCGTTGGGCCGGCCTATCCATCATGCATCGCAACGGCGCAGGTCCCGACCCCATTAGTCCCTTCCTACTCGTTCTCGCCATACTCGGAGGGGACGGCCTTGGGACCCTTACTTTGGATTTCATTGCCATGTTTGACCCTGACGCTGCGGAGACCCTCGCTCCCTTGTTCGTGCTCGCCCCCGGAACCGTCGTCTCCGCCACCCAAACCCGCACTAGTCAGCTCGGTCAGCTCCTCGTCCGCGCAGACTACCACGAGGCACGTACTTGTCTTCTTCCTACCGCCCCCCTCTCTCTCCATTGACCTCTCTGCACTGCAGCTCAACGTCTTCGCGAAACCGCGTAGCTACGAGGTGCATTTCTCCATTCATTGCGACATCGTGGCGGAGGTCCTCCTTGGCATGCCCGCCTATGGCAAGGACCACAACGAGCTCGACGCCTTCCGCACAGGCTTCCGCGGTATTCGACGCGACTTCCCCGACGCGCTCGATGCCATTGAGGCGAGCTTTCCCCCGCGGCGGCCTCTAGATGCGTACTGACCTTTCTCTCTCTAGGCATTTACCTTGAAGAATTTACGCCACGCGGATCCTGATCACTACGCGCTCAGCCTCCTTGCCCGCATGTACGACTGCCGCATCACCTCGGTCGACCAAATTATCTCCCGCCTCATATTCTGCGTGGACACAGGGGACCGCGACGCTCTTTCCATCGTCTTCTTCCAGCTGTTTTCTCTCCACGTCCGCCGGTGGCTCAGGGGTCGCGGCCACCCGGCCACGCCGACTGTCGTCGACTTCGTTGGCAAGGATCTGTTCAACGAGGAGCGTGACGATCCCCTCGTGCGCGCCCGACTCTTCATGAGCGCGATGGTCGACAGCCAGGTCGTGCCTCTCGATGACGCCTTCAAGTTTCAGGTAGGTTTCCCGCCATTTCGACCTGTATGCGGCTCATCAGCTATAGATTACTTTGCGTAGGGGCCTCCGGAACCTCAACCCCCCGTACTTCCACACCTGCTTCACAAGCTGTGACATGCGAGTCGACGGCTTCGTCGAGAACGCCCTCCTTGAACCTTGCGACTTGGAGGACAGCGAAGACGCGACGCTGTTTGATGAGTGGATCCACAAACTTTTCTTTGGTAAATTGCCCTACAACCGTGATTAGTCGACCGGACTTTTAGTTGCTATTATGCTCGTAGTAGCAAGTAGTACTCTATATACCCTGTACCTCTACCCTGTCAACGCCGATATGTCTTTCTCATTTTCGCCATGGCGGTCAAGAGCAAGCCCGAAATAGGCACCCGGGGCCTTCTTTCGATCGGTTGATCGGACATCCGGCAGTTCAGAGCGGAGTGATAAGATAACACAGATTACGGGAAATAAAAACAGTGGATGGCTCAATCCTACCTTAAATGCATTGGTTGTAGGTACATGTTGAAAGAAGGGGAAAACAATGCTTAGGTTTTCGGCTGAAAAATACAGGACATGTTGCGAGAGAAATATATGAAAAAGGTTCGAGGTCAATTGGGAAGGCCGTAGTGGGATTCGAACCCACGCGACGGGAAGAAGACTGTTTATGAAAAGGCACAACGATCCCACGCTATAACCACTAAGCCATATGGCCACAAAAGACCACCATTTAGTGCGACACAAATGGACGTGTGAACCTACGTGCGGCAAACAACAATAAGGCCCAAAGAAAATTGAAATGCACATCATCAGAATACATAACCTAGCGATGTGGTATACCCGACGCTCTACCCTTGAACCACCAGGCAATTTTTTAAAAAAAAGCTGGAGCCGTTCTTAAATTTAAACCTCCTATGTTGCAACTAAAATTTTAAAAAAGTGCCGGAAACGGTGGGAAGGCCTGGGCGCGACTTGAACGCACACCGTCAGATTAACCTGGACACGCAAGCTGGTATCACCGTCTGACACTCTACCATTGAGCTACCAGGCCGATCAAAGACTTCGTGCTTGACTAATGTATTTATTCGTTGGGCGTCGGAGGTGAATATTTTAAAAAGAAACCGATAATTCTAGTTGGCAACCCTGCAAAATCCCCAAGTCCGTAAGAGACGGCGATCAAAGAAGTGCTGTCAAAAGGATCTTAAAAATGGTCACGTGACTTACTGTGTCAGCGCGTTGGACCAAGCACGCGCAAATATGGCCCGGTCCAAGCGAGAAATTGCAGTGGTCTCGTCCCTGAGGCCAAAAAATATTAGGGTGTCCCGGATAATCCCGGATGTTCATATATAACGGGTTTCCGGACGATCCGGCACCTCTTTCAGCTTCAGTCACCACCAAACCGCGGTAAGTCGTTTCTCAGTGAATATTGGACGGATTTTGAAGATTCCGGTACTCACCAGATGGCCGCAACCGCCCCGAATTACGTGGATATCACCCCCGAGTCCGAGCGTCAAAAAATACTGAGCATTCTGTGAGTTTTTCTCTGTTACTTCCTCTGTGGGCCGCTCACCTCGGCGACCGCGAAGCCGGCGACTGGCGCCGCGCGACCCGATGGGCGCCGCCAACGCGTACGAGGCGCTGCGGCCCTATCTGGAGCCCGCTGCCCGCTGGCGGAGGCTGCGTGTACGTCTTCGTCTTCCTCCAGCGAAACGAGGAAATCGCGGTGCAGGCGGGCACGGCGCCGTTGGGGGAGGAGGTCGACGCGCTCGACGCAAAAGTCGGCTATGTGGTTGATGTGGAAGCACGGCGCGAGGGGCACGAGCAGCAGTGCGTCGGAGTGGAGAGGGCCTGGGCGTACTACTACCCCACGCGCTATCCTAAGTTACTCGGTGAGTGCAATTGGGGCGCGTTGAGTGTGGTACTTACCGTAGAGCCAGAGAGGCTGGTACACCTCACCCTCAAGGTGCTCGGCGCGCATTGGACTCCGCGCCCCTGCACCGGATATTTTTGCAACGTTCGACACCGGGAGTTCTTCCTGGAGGGGGCGGCGGGCGGGCTAGAGGGGATTGTGGCGATAATCGAGGCTTGGCTGCGTCGCCTCGGGGAGATTCCGGATCGTCGACCGATGTACTTTACGAACTGATCGCCGCACATTTGCGCTACCGTTTTTTTATTTCTTTTGTATTGTCGTGCCTACGTACATTTCCCTCGTGGACAGCCATCACAAATGTACCATCAACCAACCAGATCATTAGTCTGCAGCTTCATTCACAAGCAGTCCCCTAATTCTTTCGTCATTCTAAGATATTCGAACCATCAAATCATAGACTCACTCGCCTTGCCAAGTTCGCCGTCTATCATTATTGCAGTGGCGCTAGCAAACAGGACTGGGAAATATTCAAGTAAGTCTCCTCCTCCAATAAAACGCCGGTGTCACCTACCTCCAACCGCCCAAAAATCGCGAAGTCCGACATGGCCTCTAAAACACCAAAACAATCTTATTGGATCGAAAAAAAAAATCCATAAATGCATTTTCACGAGGCGATTAATTGATAAGCCGATTGGGCCGGGAGCGGGGACGAGGACCAAGGAATCTAATGTCCCAGCCACCCTCTAGAAGGCCAACCATCCTCAGTTGCTCTACCTCTTGCTCCATAAAAGGCCCGCTTCCCAATTCACCCAGCCAGTGTCCCATCCAGCGCGCCTTCCCTAACCATTCCTCAGGCTTCCCCCAACCCTCTCCCCAGTTGTCGTCCTCCACGTCCTCCTCCCATCTCAAATCGAGCGTCCTCAACGAGCCCTGCCCAAAGCGCGCCCGGCACATGTCCTCCAGTGCATCCCACCCCATGTCGTTCCACTTGTCGCACATTGCCTTCGACAGTGGGACGCGTAAGGTGCGCAGCTCCGGAAGTAACGTCAAGGCCTGCAAACCCTCGAACAGCTCTGCACCGCAAAGCAGGGGGGACACCACCAGATGCAACAATTCCGGGCTCGCTCGGAGATGATTCTTAAGCGTCGCAAATGGGCACGCAACCTGCATCGAGAACTCCAGGTTACACAAGGCCGGCGACCGCTCCAGGAATGCGGTCAGGCTCGCATGCAGCCCTCGCGACATTGGCGTCTCCGCTGCTGCCTTCGCTGGCCACTGCCTGTACCCATCCTTGCTTACCCCGTCCCAAAAGTCTCCCCGCAGCCTCAATGTTTGCAGCCTCGGGCAAGTCAGCTTCCCGAAGAAGACACCGCCGCCCTTCGCCCTCGAGTTGCAGTACATCGCCCATTCCACCACCACCTCGAGCGACTTCAGGCGCTCCATGATGACGTTGCCCCCCGTCGAGGGCAGCAGTACGCCCGCGAGTCGCAGGACGCACAGGTTCTTGAAGCTCGCCAGGTGCAACGCGGGGATTTCCCAGCCAACCCTCATTGTCCCCAGCTCCGTGTACTCCTCGATCTCTTCCCAGACGAAATCCGTCTCGACTTCGGGCCTGATCATCCCGGAGAGCGTCAAACATTGTGGACTCGCCCGCCACCTGACACTTCGCGACTCGACGGGCAGGGCCTCCGCCCAGTCAGGGAGAACGTCGTCTTCCGTCGCTAGGAGCTGCCAGTTCTTGGCGCTGCTCCCGGAGCTCCCTTCAATGCATAGCTCATGCACGTCCGGCCGTGGCCACCGAATTCGCCTCATCCTCTCCCTCAACTCTTCTGGGTCGCTCTCGCTACCCTCCACCTCCAGGCTGTACCAGTTGCCTATCGTGAGCTGAACGAAGCGGCGCGCATTGAGGATCTGGTCCAACGTCTCCGGCCGCACGCCCTTCAAGGACACCGAAACCTGCGCCAAACCCAACTGCAGGACACGCTCAAGCTTCAGGACTGTCCACCGGTACTGATTCTCGGTAGACCGTGCGAACACGACCGGATTCCACACCGAGGCTGCGCGCGACGCTGTCGCCACCGTCCGCAAGTGCTTCGAGACGTTCGTCAATGCGCGCAGCGTCTCCCCTTCCCCTCGCAGCAAGTCAAAGATCATTGACCACACCTCCTCAGGAGCGAGAGAGATGGCGCGGTGAGGGAGGAGTGTCCCATGAAAAATCCGATCCGCGAAGTCGGCGCTCCTGCGCGCGGCGGCCAGCGCCCCTTCCAGATGTCGCACGGCGCTATGGTGAAGCTCGCGCTGTGCGGCGGCGCCTGGAATCCACGCGTTCGCCCACCACGATGGAATCGTCACGCCTGCCGCATGGACGTCGTGGCCAGGCAGAAATGCTGGCAACCGCATGGACCACCTGTAAACGTCTCTATCAGCACATTCGTCGCCGCGCCAGCTGCCCTGCTTACACGACGTCCTGCCACAGCTGGGCATTCTCTTCCCTGCTGATCCAGTCTATCCTGCGAGAGGGTGTTTGTCAGTTCATCGTAATCCGAGAGCGTATAGCGCGCGACTCACGCGAGCACCTCTCTGCGGGTCCATCCGTGTGGTCCGAGCGTCCATCCCCCGTCTTCCGTATGCTGGACGCCTGCTGCCCAGTCTGCGCCCCATGTCCCAGTGCCCCAGCCGGGCCAGCCTGCGCCTGCGCCAGTGCCCCACCCCCCTCCCGTGTTGCCGTTGGCTGCCCTGGAATACATATGCGTTGGCGTCGCGAGAGGGGGAGTGGAAAAAAAGAAGAAAAAAGCGCTTACATTTCGTAGATTTGATTCCTTGAGGCCGATACCAAATCCTGAGGGCGGCACGAAAAAAAGGCGAAAGATCTGAAGAGTGCACGTGTCCCTCCGACATTGCCTATCTGAGTATCTGCTAATCCATCACCATCACTTATCGGCGCGAAGCTTGGTTGTGTTTGTACACCAGACCCGTCTTGTTGATGACACGTGATTTGGATGATTTCGCCCCGAAGTGGTCGAAGTGTCGTATATCGTCCATAATTATGTATTCTATTTACGGAGAACGGTGAAATCCCGGCCCTCGAGTGTGTGCTCCAGCAGGGTGCAGTCTGTGAAGCAGGTAAACACAATGCGCCTCCCCGACAACGGCGCACTGCAATGTGCTAGCAGCCTCGTTCTCGCCGCGATAACTGACCCAGGCAGCAACGGAACCCGCGTCCCCAGTTGCGGCACACAGAACTCTCCCCCAGTGTAATCCCCGGTGCAAAAGATGATTGCGTACTTGTGCAGATTGTCGTTCCAGTCGATGTGCACGCGCTCGCTCGACCCCTCCTTGACCGCTATCGTGAAGAATAGCCCGCCGAAATCCATGTCCGGGCGCTGCGCTAATGCCTTTCCCAGGAAGTGCCGCACCCGGGCATGGATCCTATAAAAAAAAGTCAGCGCGACTTCGTCCATTATTGACGCTATCTGCTTACCTGTCTTGCACCCTGCGCTGACCTGGTGTGTGGGCGTCCATCAGGCGCTGCAGGCGCGGCACCATGAGCTTCCGGATCAGCCTACACAAAGCATCTATCGCCTCCACCACCTCAGCACGGACTTCGCGATCGCTCTGCAGCGTCTGCCTCGAGTCTGTCGTTATCAGGGGCGTGTTCATGAACAGCTCCCACACGCCGAGATGCAGAGCTGGCATCCCCGAGCGCCGGTGGTCAGCTTTGGGATATTTCACCCCGAGCGCCTTCAAACGATCCCAAAGCGCCAGCAATCTCGCCAGCGTCGACGCCGGGATCGCGTGGGCGAATCGCATCAGAAGAAATGGCGGCGGTCCATCGCGCCTCAGCCGAATGCATTCCGCCTCTGAGATCTTCGGCTGCACCCAGTCTGCGACGCCGCCGGGGCCAATCTGCCCTTCCTGTTCTGATGTCGGGTCGTCCGCGACGATGAGCACCATCAGACGATCGTTGTCCATGATGCTAGGCAGTTCCGCCGGCACTGGCGGCCACCGTTTGTTCACGAGATCGGTTACGCGCTGCGAGTCCCGCTTCCGACCGGAAAACTCGTCTGGATACTTGCGGGGTAGTTTGTACAGCTCTTACCAATCCGTTAGCGCGCATGCCCCTTTAAAAACAAAATAAAAGTCGTACTTGTCAGACGTTTCCTTTTCTCTTGTCCCTGCTC